TGCCTCGCTTCCTCCTCCACCGCCGCGTCAAGCGCTGCGTCCAGCTTCCCCCTTGCTTGAGGACTAGCCGCGCCCCTCCTTGCAAACCCCCTCCAGTGCTGGAGAGTGCTCACGCCCTGGCCCGCAAGCTTGCGTGCTTCTTCCACGCTCTTGAACAGCTCGGTCTTCTTTATTGTGTCCAACACTCCCTCACTTGCGATGAATGTCCCGGGGCCCGCAAGAAAATCCTCCACAGAGACGCTCTCGTTCCTTGGCTCCACGCCCACGCCGTCCAATTGGCTGCGAAGGAAGTCGTTCAGCTTCATTCTGTCGGCGCGCACGCTTCCCTCCAGCAGTACTTCCTCCACCGTGCTGGTAAGAGTCCACCTCAGGACCGGCGGTGCTTCCTCCACCCTTCGGCGCTGCGCCGCGGGTTGCCGCGTGCCGCTGCCGGGCCCCGACCTCGCCCTGCGCCGTCCCTGCGGCACATCTGTGGCGGGATCCCCCTCCGCCGCAGCGTAAACACGTTCCTCGCGCCTCCCAGGCATTCTCCACTTGAGCTTTTTTTTCCCCGCGTATTTGTTGTTGTTGTCTTGCGATGCAGCTGAACCCCACCACCACCAGCCAAAAGGAGAATGAAAGGGGGAGGGGGGATATACAAAAAAAAATAGGCGCACTGACACACGACCCCCACGCAGCCACGTTCAGCAAGAGATAGAGACAGAAAGAAAGTGTGAGGGCCACCGCAGCCCACACGGTGCGGGGCAGGGCAGCCGCACTGCACGGGGGCGGCCTCGCCACTCCGCCCACCGCCCCCCACCTGCCGGCGCAGCTAAATTAACCCCCCAACACCGCAGGATAGCGGAAGACGCAAGCACAGAGAGAGAGGGAGAAAGAGAGCGAGAGATACATACGCGGTCGCACGACTCACCGCGAACCAAATGTTGCCTCCCCCGAGTACTTTATGTAGAGAAAACCGTCCTCGTCCTTGTGCTGCGCGTACAAGTCTGACATTTGTGCCGTGGTGGGGGGCACAGCGCCATTCACAAAGAGAAAAATTGCCTCATCCGCCTCCACCGTCACACGCTTCCGGAGCACCAGTACAAATTGCCCGACGGTGAGGTCCGACGGCACGAGAAACTTCCCCCTTTCCAAGTCTCCAATGTCGGAGTCATCCACCTTTTCGCAGATGATGGGGAGTCGGTCAGGATGTCGTTCACGAACCTTCGCCGCCTCTTTTTGGCGGGACTCAAACGAGTGAGACAACTTATACCGGCTTTCGAATCCTTTCTTCATTGCTGCTGTGCACTCCAACTGCCCTTGCTAGAGAAGAAGGCAAAGCGGTAGGAGACAACCGGACATCGCCCGTCGCCCGAGTGTAGCACACACACACTTGTGCAAGGACCCCTGTGGGGGACGCAACGCAACGCAACGCACTCAGCAACGCACTCAGCAACGGTGTAGGGTTCAATGAAGCATTGGAAGACTCAGGCCGCACGCACACTAACGGAGAAAAAGACACGCCAGCTGTCCTCGGTGTAAATGGCATGAAGAGAGCAACAAGCGCCCCACTACAGTGGGGGGGGGGAGGGAAGGCGTAGGCCAAAAAAAAAAGAACGAAACACGCGCAATACGAAAAAGCAACTATATACTAAAACGAAGAACCCTCTAACACCGTCGCAAAAGAAATATCTTTAAGCTGCGGCCCCTGCTTCGGGATTTTCATGCACAATGAAAGTAACTCTCCCCCACGGTGTCCACGCCCACCACGGAAGCTCCGCGCACGCACAGAGAGAGAGAGAGAGAGAGAGAAAGAGAGCGAGAGATACATACGCGGTCGCACGACTCACCGCGAACCAAATGTTGCCTCCCCCGAGTACTTTATGTAGAGAAAACCGTCCTCGTCCTTGTGCTGCGCGTACAAGTCTGACATTTGTGCCGTGGTGGGGGGCACAGCGCCATTCACAAAGAGAAAAATTGCCTCATCCGCCTCCACCGTCACACGCTTCCGGAGCACCAGTACAAATTGCCCGACGGTGAGGTCCGACGGCACGAGAAACTTCCCCCTTTCCAAGTCTCCAATGGCGGAACCGTCCACCTTTTCGCAGATGATGGGGAGTCGATTGGGGTTTTTCTCACGAACCTTCGCCGCCTCGGATAACCGATGCTCCAAAGTGTGTAACTTCTTGTACTTTATCTCGAAACCTTTTCGCACCATGGAGGGCCTGATACGCTGATGCGTGGGATTTTCTCGGGAAGGATGAATTCGCGCAAACGAATCTTAGATCTAAACGGAAAAGACAATAACAACCGCAACCAACAATGCTGGGGGAGAATGTACAAGAAAAGCTGGTAGCAACAGTCCAGCAACGCAGACGTTCAACGTTCGCTGAGCCCTGCACAAGAGTGGTAATCTGTAGCGGATGCAAAATGTGCATCATTAGAGCAAAAATTGCGAAGAAGAAAATGAAACAAAAAAAAAGCAAAGTCATTGCAAATAGCTTGGCTATTTGGTAAAAGCTTGGGTCATCCTGTTTAGTTTTTCTTCTTCTTCGTCCGTATCAAATTTCATCTTGGAGGGCTCAAGACACCGCTGCAGATGCAAACAGTTCCATCATCACCGCACGTCAGAACGTAGTGATGTTGAAATTTTACATCATTGATGGAAGAGCGATGGAGTTTGGTGCGTATCGGCGGGGGCACGGCTTCTCCCACAGGCCAGTAATATCGGCCAGGGACGGACGATGATTGCGGCCCCGCCGTCTCCCTCTGGGAGCTCTCTGGTGTTCCGTTCGACGCCGTGGAATTTACAAGAAAGCAGGGCTCTCTTAGCTGTGCGGGACCTGTGTCCCAAATGTAGAGATAACCTTCGTTGTGTCCGCTGATAATGTGTGAGTCAACGCATCCGAAGGTGACACTGCTACCTTTGCGTGTATGGCTTTCAACGCCTTCAAATCGCTGAGGAAGAATCTCCCCAGTTAGCACGTCCCACAGCCGAAGTATGCCGCTTCGGTATGACACAAGCAGTAAGGACGCTGAGGGAGAAAGCGCTATGGATGAGATCTCACTCGCCACAGGTGAGGCCAAGGTAAACAAGAGAACCCCAGTAGTAACGTCAACGACGCGAACAAGGCCTTCTTTTGAGGCCGCAAAATAGCAGGTTCCAGATCGATTCGCGGTAAGTGACTCAATTGCGGATGAGCTGAAGCTGCGCTGAAACATTTTGGCCCCTGTTAACATGTCCCAAATGGTAACTGTCCCCTCTGACAATCCAGTTGCAAGAATAAATCCAGATGGAAACAGGCAGGACGAGTAAACCTCTGCTGTGTGAGCAAATGTGTTGGCCACACAATCCATCAGCCACTCGGATGTGTCCAAGACATCTGTCGTTTTCCCCATAATACGTCCTAAATTGAGAACAACGGCCTGACATGCGCTCCATGAGAGGAGTATTTGACGGTCATGGCTTGCCATACCTCTCACTGGAGCATCATATTGGTACAATTTAAGACACGCCTCACAAGATGCTCCAGTTAGAGACAAGTCTTTTTGTTCCAACTGCACCCACAAAATAGCTCCCGCATATGTACCTACAACAACAGCAGGTATTTGAAGAAATGGTTGGCACGCCGTCAAACGCACACCCTTTCCGGCGCCTGCACCACTGCCGCAACTAATCCTGTTGATATCAATCGAGGCAATGAGGTTGGATGGGATAAGTTGGTCCCCCAATGGCTGAAGAATAGAGTGCACATGATGCGTTGCGAGCCCACGCAGCCGCGAAGGATGTTGAGACTTTAGAAGCTCATACGAGAGGGAATTTGCCAAAATTTGCTCCAGACCCTTGAACGCAATATGGGGCCCAGTATCAAAATTACCCTCGCATTGGCGGCAATATGGGCTGCTGTCGCAATAGCCGATGAATTTCGATATGAGGGACTGAAGCTGCGAGCGTCCTATCGCAGGATTCCAACCACGCCAAGCTGGAAACATGCTTCCAGCCTCCGATACATTTCGGCAAGTCAGCAGGTAAACCAACTGTTGAAAGTGGTCTTTGCTTATCGTTCCTTCTAAAGGCTTAATTCTCCTCATAAAAAATACATGGGCCCGCTGCCCACCTTCTTCAACGTACTCCATAAATTGCTGTTGGACGAGCAAAAACGGCAGCAACTGAAGCAGTGAGGTGATACGCGACGGTGCCTCGTTTTTGACTGCCCCAGCCGGGTTTGTTGTGGACTCCAGCTTTTTCAGCTGCGCATGGGCGGTGTCCCAATTACCTTCATGTATGGCGCGAGAAATGGTGTGAAGGGCTTTTCGCTCATTGTGCTCTTGACGCAGAAGCGCTGCCGCCTCATCACGAAGAATTTGGACGGAGGAGGTCAGTCCTTGTTCTATCAGCCAGCCCGCGACTACGTGTAGTAGTTCACTTCGTATGATGTCGCTTCTTGGGTTGAACTCGACGAGGGTGGAGCTTGGGATGGAAATGATCTCCTCCACCTCACCGCTCGGCTTTGCCTCCTCTTCAGCGATGAGGCGGTCGCGCGGAGGCTCATCCATTAGGAGCAACGCGTCTAGAAGAACTTTCCCGTGTTCGCCTCTTCGCCGTTGTCGCTGCGGCTGTGCGCGTGGTGAGTTTTTGCCGCCTTGCTCCCTTTCCTTTTGTTGGGGTGCGCCCTTCTTGTCGTTGCGGCAGGGCAAAGCAAAGCAAAGCAAAAAAAAAAAAGAGATGGTGCGCCGTCCGCGGAGGGGAGGCAGTGCACGAAGAAAATAAGCCAGAAAAGCCAGCGACCGCCCGGCGAGCGTCTAGCAGCGGACACACATTTCAGACGGTGCGTAGGCAGCCCATTAAGCATGCACCGTGTTTGCTTTCCACCTTTTGATACTGCCTTTGCGCTTACTCATCGTTGTTTGCTCGTCGTTGTTTGGACTGTTGCTTTAGTTATTATTCTTTTTTTTTACTTTCGTCTTTTTTACTTCTCGTTTTCACCCTCCCTTCAGCATCTACGGTGGCGCCATTGCGCGGCATTTCCTCACGCCCGCCCCGCATCACCTCCCGTGACGCCTGCCGCGTTGGCTGAAGTCCCAGAGTAGCTGAATGAGATCTCCCCTGTCGACCTCCGGCCACGTCTTGTTTATGAAAACAAACTCCGTGTAGGCACACTCGTACAGCAAGAAATTACTTAGCCGCTGCTCCCCACTTGTGCGGAGCAAAAGCTGCGGCTCTGCCCCGCCACTATCCGCTAGAACTGTGGCGTCCTCCGCCTCATGGTCGTCTTGCGTGATACTGCGAAGCATGTGACTCATAAATTCCGCATGCGATATTGGTGTCGACTTATTCACGCGCCGCAACAGGCGATTGCAGGCCCAAAGGACTTCCTCCCGCCCACTGTAGCTAACGCACACATTGACAACAATGCGACGGGGGCGGTGCCGACGCGATTCTTCCTCCACACACCGCATGAGCTCCTGAAGACGAGGCGAAATTTTATCAAAGACTGGGGAAATAAAGCGAATAAAAATCCCGTTCTCCCTCGCAGAGTCCCGTATGCGCTCGAAGAAAAAGTAGAAGAGTGTCATGAGCACATTCACCTCGAGGGGTGCCCTCTCCCAGTTTTCGGCGGAGAACGCATACACCGTAAGCATTTCGATGTTAAGCTCTAGACAGTCAGTAATGAATTCCATGAGCTTCTCACCGCCACGGCGGTGACCGTCTAACGTGGTGTGTCGTAGGAGCGAGGTAAGGGCCGTGCCCCACTCACCACTCGGCTTCGCTGGGCCATTTTCATCCAAAATGGAATCGCAGAGCTTTGACACAGCAGCGGCAGGGACAACACACTGGGAGGTGCGCTTACCAAAGCGACGGTTTCCATCCATGATGACCGCAAGATGACGCACGCCGTGCTTCGGAACGCCTGCGACGGGGCAGTTTCCCAAGAGGCAAGGGGGGCTGCATGTTGCCTTCTGCGCCGCCTCTGCCCCTGCAACTGAGCGGTGGGCCTGCAGGTTCGGGCGCGTCTCCTGCCGCTCAGGCTCCAGCAGAGTTTCGCAGATCCTGAGGTAACGGGAAACGGCAAGAAGCGCCGTCTCACGCCAGAGCGAGAAGCTGGCACAGGCCAGGCAGAAGAAGAAGAGCAGGGTAAGGAAGAACAAAACGATCAGCTCAAACCCCTCTGCCAGTGCATCAATGCCACGAACCCCGCAGCAGTTGAAGAGAAAAACTGCGTCACTACGGGCTGCAAAGAAATTCCCGAGTACTTTTGCATCGTTCTCAAGGTACGCGGATGCGTGCATCCAAACTGTGTGGCCAACAAACGTGGAAAGGACAAAAAAAAAAGGTGAGACAGTGAAGGCGGTCAAACAAAAGCAACAAACAAAATATATCGCATACACATGCAGCCACTTCGAACACGACAAAGCGAAAGCAAAAAAAAAAAACGGGGGTGTACAGCTGCATAAATGCAGGGGACTCAGTTTTTCTTGAGAAGTGAGGTGGGGTCCAAGGTGCCCTTCTGAAGTCTTTTCAAGAGATCCTCATTTGTCTCCGAGTGACGAAGACGCGAACCGCTCTCGCTACGGCGCACGAGTACATCCGTGTTAAACAAGGAGAGAGACTCAAGGGTGTTGAGAAGCGGAGAGAGCAGCGTGTAGCACCCCTTTGCAAAGTGTACAAGTGGGCGATAGAGCCACGTAGCCAACCAAAGCAGCATCGAGGTGCCATCATCTGAGAAATCGGCGTTTCGGCCATCACGGCGGTTTGATTCCATCGCGAAGAGTCGCAACTGCTCCGTGTGGTCGGCCACGGTCCCGCGCTCCTTTTCCAGACTGACGACAACGTACTCAAGCTGTTGTTGAATGTACTGAAGATCACTGTTTGTTTTTGTGAACGTGTCCTCAAACCGCGAGGTGGATGCCCTAACCTCGTTCACGATCACACGCTGTCGCTCGAGGGCCTTCTCCATTTGCTTCAGTCTTCGCCTTGTGGCTTCAGCGGCCTCCTCCATTCCACGCACCATACCGCACAGCTGCGCATGCGTCGCATCGCGAGAATCCCCTGCCCCCGTCACGACTTGCGGCAAAACTGCGTCCCATCCCCTCATGTGTGGCAAAAGGTGTGGGAGACCAAGAGCACACACGCACGCACGCACGCACGCACACACACACACCCCACAGGCCACCGCGCTCCCACCGAAGAGAAGCGGCCGACGAAACTGAGGGCAAGAATTAAAAAAAAAAGGACAACAACCTCAAGACCAGGATAGGGCCATCAAAGGGGTAGAACGACGGCGACAACAGACGAGAGATGGAAAAAGAGGGAGAAGCAACATACTGAGATGCGGAAGGGAAAAGGAAACAAAAGCCATACTGACTCCTCTTTTTTTTATTACCTGAAGCAACTACCAATCATCTGGATTTGCGCCTCCCACACACACACAGAGGCACAGAGAGGCATCGTTAATTGGAGTCATCCAAAAGAAGACGTTTTTGTCGGCCAGGCGCAAAGGAGTTTTGGTGCGCCGTGGTCGTGGGGGGGCAGTGAGTCGTCATCCAGCATGAGCCTCTGTACTGCGCATGCCGTCGACGGTGCATCTGTCATCCGTTTACCTGTCGCACTACATTCTTTACTCGATGTCTTCCCACCGCGCTGGTCCGCAGGGGTAGACGTCGTATTCGTCGTCGTCGTCGTCGTCGTTGTGTTGGTGTGACGCTGCTGCATGTCACGAACATACACGGCAGCACTTTCGATTGTTTCCCCAATCTGACCCCAATCCACGTCTTCTTCTTCAGAGTCGTCTTCGCTTTCCCCCTCCTGCGGCGGGACATACAACAGTGTCGGTTTAACCACCCGTTTCGCGTGGGCGTCCAACACCCGGCGCTCTTCATAAGTGAGCTCACGGTAAGGCTCGGGAAGTGGCGCCAAGAGTCCAGTCTTAAGCCATCGGCGTTGTTTGGCCCTCGACTCTTCTTCCTCCGCCTCCTCCTGGAGAGATGAAGAGGTAGAGGAGGCGGAAGTGGTTGGGCTGCTGCTTTCGCGCCGACGTTTGCGCGACTCTTGGGTCTCGTCGGCATCGGCCTCCCCGTACGGGTCCGGCGAGCGCTGCTCATGGCGCGAAAATTGACTATAGCTGCTCCCGCTACTCTCACTGCTGCTGTCCGAGTCGCAAATAAAGTCGCTTGCGGAGCTGTCCTGATCGTTCGAGTGAAATGTGTTCATCACAGTCTCATTTGGAAAAGCTGTTTGGTTCACGCATTCGTCGAGGTGCGGCTCCGCACGCTCTACTGCCTCCACTATTCGATTGTAACGCAAACGGTTGTACCGCGCATTGATGTGCCAATAGCGTGGCACGGTCAGTTCAGGAGTCCCCGTGGAGGCGCCATCGCCGCGGCGCCGCAGCTTTCGGTTCTTTTCCTCCAGCAGACGATTGTACTGTGAGATGTACTGTGAGAGGAATTCTTTTAGGCGGTAGTCTACAGCGGCGGTTCCCGTGTCGCTGTGGTGGCGGCGAACGTGGCGCCTCCAACTAATGGCGCGACGGAACACAATGTGCACCAGCGGAGAGTCCCAGTTAGGCACCACGTCCATGGAAGGAATTGTCAACGGAACACGCTCCACTTCTGCACTCACGTCCGCCGCGTGCGAGGCATCGGCTTCATTCTCCGCCGCATTTTGCACCCCCTGCATGTGCGCAAAAACGTCTAGGGGGTCGATGACAGGGTTAGGGTCCCCGTCCACGTATTCAATTCTCTGTCGGGTCTCGGTCAGGTGTGGAATAAGGCGTGCGCCAATCCAATGGAGGTAGCACGCCGGGCACACGTACAGCTCGGCCGGATTAAGAAGATAGAACTCATCCATAATCTGGTCAAAGTACACATGCCTGTGAAGAACGTGGATGCCACCTGCATTTTCATCCCCGATGTCGCGAATAAGAACGTTGCTCTTCTCAAAGCGAAAGGTTCGCCCCTCAATCTCCTCCACCTGCCGCTGCAAGGAAGGCAGCATTGGCTCCCGAAAATGCGGTGGCTGCATAAACATGCCCCTGTCTGTGGCGATACGAATAAGCGTGGCGGTGTTGTAAAACAGCCGCAACGTTCCATCTGGGCTCAGGATCTCAACAAACCGCAAAGGATGCAGCGGCTCCGCGGTGACGGCGTCGATGCGCTCAGCTGCTGCCTCCTCCAAATTTGGATGGCCATCCGTCGTCTTATTCCTGCGCGGCAAGCGTTTCTTTGGGGCCATTCTCGCCTCCTCTCTCTCTCTCTCTCTATCTATCTCACTCTCTCTCCCCCTCCCTCTCCCTTGCCTCGACGGCGCCTGCGCCCGTTTGTCTAGCGAAAATAATTGCAGGTCCGTGACGGGGGAGAGGCAGCCAAGAGTGGGAAGCAAACAGATGCGCGAAAAATGGGGCCAGGCGGAGGCACGCACGTGCAAACAGACACACGCCCACGCAGGCACAGCGACACATCAAAAGGGGAGAAGGGATGAAATGCCCAAGCGGCAACGGGAAGAAAAACGGACTCCCGCACGACAACGCACCGTCGACGCAGTTAACGTCAGGCGTGTCCCAAAGGGCGCACAATAACCAAACAGAAGAAAAACAACAGCAACTATCAAAGAACACAATGACGTCCTCGCCACAAGCAATGACGGCGGCAGTTTCCTTTCCAATCCGGTAAAACAAAAACGAAAAAAGGCCAAGGGAAACCGCCCATTGCGCATCACCCAATACTAAAAAACGACATAGCAGCACGCACAAGCACACACGCAAGACACGCAGATTATGGGGAGGCAAACAAAACACATATACATACACGAAACGACTGTGACAGTGACAGTGCCGTCTTTCCTTTGTTTCCATCGCCCTCCTCTCTCTCTCTTTTTTTTTTTTTTGATTTTGTCTTACTTGTTTTGTAGCGAGTCTAAAGGCACCAGCGTTCGTGTCTGTGCATGTGCGTGATAATGTGTGCCCTAGCGAAGAAACGAGATCAGCTGACGAAAGGAATGCATGAATATCTCCAGTGGCACCACGCCCAGGAGGACCAGTAGGAGCAAATTTCCCACAATCACCCCTGAGGCTGCCAAGTCAAGCCGATTCATTCGATCCCGACGCCTGGCAAACTCCTCCAGCGTCTCACTCTTTTCTCCGTTCCCCTTGTCGTTTCGTACGGATTTCCTCCCGCGCTGCTGCCCTGACGCACACCACGGCGCGCGCCGCTCGACATAGGCAAAGTATATAATAATGACAAGAAGAATGTTTCCCGCCACGTAGGCGACGACATATTTGAGGGAGACCCCACGGATCAGTTGCGGCAAATTGGGGATAATGGGAGACCACCGCACCAAGGCGATGTTAGAGAGAATCATCGTGGCCAAGTTGAGCCAAGACCTGGAGCGAAACAAAATTGTCCACAGCCCATTCAACACAACAAATAGGCTGACCAGCAGCCAGTCAACTTTTGGCTCCGACAAGGGAAAACTCAGGAACACAAGAGAAATGAGTATAAAGGGAATAAAACTGGCGGGGCTGACAGGGGCTGCATTTGCCGCCTTCTCCTTCAGTTCCTCACGCCGTTCCTGCCGCAGCTGTCGGAGCCGCTGAATCTCCTCAAAACGCCTTTGAGTCCCCTCACGTATCTTGTTCGCAACCTCGTCCTTTGCCCCGCTCATTCCTATCCACTTATTTATTCGCGCCCTTTTATAATAAAACGTGTGGCTTTAGTTTTAGTTGTTGTTGTTGTTTTTTTTTTCTTAGTGCAGATGACGTTCTCGCAGTAGTTGCTGCTGCTCTCCCTGTGACTATCACCCTTCTTTGTTGTTGTTGTTGTTGTTGTTTTTCTTCTTGTTTGTGTCTCCGTCCCTTTCGCAGCCGCCTCTCCTCCCGGCGAAAACCCCTCGAGCCCTGCAGAAAAAAGACAGCCAGACGATATTGCGGCGTTGAACCCACGCGTTCAGAAAAAGAGAGAGAAGTCAAGAAGGAACGACGGCAACGCAAGCAACAAGTTTAAAAACAGGGTGGGGTGGGGGGAAAAAAAAGAAGGAAAGAGAGAACTGCAAGAAGGCAGTGTGTTTTCCTTCCTTTTCTTTTTTTTTTTGTCTCGGGAGGCAGGGATGGGGGAGGGGGTAGACAGAGACGCTGCACTCAGTCCTGCGCATCGCTCAGGCGTAGCGCGCCTGCGATGTGGCGGAAAAGCCCCTCACGCACCTCGGCGGGGATAATAGAGCGAGAAAAGGGCAGCACCTCGCCCACCACGTCGTGGGCGTCCAGCGACTCTCCCGATCGCGCCCTGCGGCGCACAACCTCCTCCACCCGGCGCGACACCACCCGGCGCCAGTCGCTGGTGGCCCCCAACTTGCTCGACAAGTAGTCCCGAAGAAGCTGCTTCTGCACGTTGCTCATCTCCTCGTATACCCTGGCACCCGAAGAAAGAGGGCCTCCTTCAGCCCTACACTCCGCCTGCCTCATGCCTCCGCCCTTTTCCGGTTCCTCGTTGTCCAAGGCCTCTACACCAAACGCTGAGCCACAGCAGCCCTTCGCTCCCGTTAGCTCACCTGCTTCCACCTTCCCGCCTGTTGCCGCCTTGGTTTTGGCCCTTCTAGCACCTTACTGCGCAAAAGCAGCAACAAGAAGAAAGAAGAAAAACAAAATCGAGCACGCTCTCACTCCTCCTTGTCAATCCGAGTAGGACAGATGTAACGAATGCTCATGAGAGCAGCAGAGAGAAGCAATGCAACTGTACTAGAGAAAGAGAGTTGTCTAAAATCCCTCAAGGCCTTGCTCACTACTTTCCCCGCTTCATGGGAGGTTTGCGGTAACAACGAGGAGGAGTAGGAGGGGGAAGGGTCGTATGCACTCCGCCGAAGTTACGAGAGCAAAAAGCAGTCGCTGTGACGGCTAGCAAAGAGTCCCCCAGACGAAAATTGCGTGATACACTGCTTCCCAAACGATGACACGAGCGGAAGCTCTTGCAAGGCTTTCATGCCGGCACACGATAAACTGGGTACAGAGTTGAGGAGAGCGTAGACACCTTCCATAGCTGTGATCATACTGCTGGTGTGCAGCATCATCTCCGAGGCGAACGGTTGCCCCACAGCACAGACGCTACCAATATCCTGCCCGGAGCGAATGGCCTTTTCCAGCAATTCCACCAGAGCGCAGACATCGTAGAGGCCTAAATTAAGCCCCTGTCCAGCGAACGGGTGAATGCCATGAGCAGCGTCGCCAAGCAGTAGGCATCGCGGAGAATACGGACGAAGAACAAAGTTGAGTCGTAAAGGGAAGGTTCCTTGTCCACGAACTTGCTTGCCATTAACAGTTCCCTCAGGGACCTCAAGAATACGAGGAATATCCCTTGGAGCAAACGCATGGAGGCGTTTATTTAGCTCTGATACAAGGTCCGCCTGGGAGGCTGCCATCAGCTCACGGGCGTGAGCAGGTGTTGTGGAAAAGACAATGTTCGCCGTATCCTCGGACGTGGGAAGCATGGCAATGAGATCCCCGTCCAAGAAAAAATTCTGGAAACTGCAGGCATTGCCATCATCCAGGCGTTCTAAACGAACGGTGCAGACGTAGGCTGTTTGTGCGTAGTCGTGCTGCACAGCGGAGGTCGCCAAGGCATCTCTCAAGGAGCTACCACGTCCGTCACAGCCAAGTAGAAGAGAAAACTTCACGGGCTCTTCACCAGAGGAACTGCGCAGCAGCGCACTACCCAGTGCGCCATCAACGAGATTCTGTGGCGGAAGAGTAAGCGACGTCACTGAGGAGCCAAAAACAATTCGATCCGTAGCGACATTTGCTTCATTAATGTTTTGCTGATCCTCAATAACATTAATGAGCTCGGTGTTGACCTCTGCATTGTAGCTGATAAATCCAAGTGGTCGATTCAAGTCCGTAAACTCGAGAAGAGGCTCGGCCGTCACCGCACTTCCGCCCACTAGACAACTCATAAAATGACTCACAGGACGGTTTTGTTGAGGAAATGCCGGACTATTCGTCTGCTCGTGTCGAAGGGCGATGCGATAGTAAGGGTGCTTTGTCTGCAGGCGCCGCCAACATCCCAAGTTGTCCAGGAGTTTGCTTGAGACGGGTGTAAGGCTCACAGTGCGTAGGGTGTGCACCACGTTCTGCGCGTCGTACCGAGGCCGAGGTACGGGATCCGCAAGCAGTAACTGAGAAAGACGAGACGCGTAACCCAAATGCGCCGATGTGGAATCCTCTCGAATAGTCTCGGAGAGAAAACGTGACCGCAGCAGCTGAAGTGAGGCCAGCGACGCAGCCCCAACGATGCCGCCCCCGGAGACAACCACATTGAATGTATTCGGATGCATCATGGATGAAAGATTGCGCAAGGAAGGATGCAGCATCAACTATTTTAATTTAAAAAGAGCAATGCCAACGTGCTTGCGTTCACGCATGAATGAATGAGAAAACAAATTATTTACGTACGTATATGTGGGTTTGTGGGAGTGAGAAGGGCAGACAGACAGAGCGAGAGAAACGGGACAAGAGCAAAGCCGTCCTCTCTGCTCTCCTTGCCACTGGGATGCAGCACATAGTGAGAATCAGAGTCAGAGTGAAGGTAGACTGTTGTGCGTGACACTGCACTGCCGTCCAGAGGCACCTTCCCGCCAGGTCCTCCGTTTGGAGTTTTGTTTGTTGTTTTTTTGTTTTTTTGTTGCTTGAAGAGGAAGAGAGAGAGAGAGGGCCTTCATTCGTAACGCCCCACCCCCTTTGCTTCCGCCGCTTTCACGCTGGCGCGCCAGACATGCTGCTTGCCACTCCGATGCGGACAGCAGTCACTCACGCCTTGACGCTTTGTCCACTCGCGAGGAGGGAGCAGGAACGAAACGCAAAAG